TTCCACTAATAAAAGCAAAAAAATTGAAACGTATATCGGTGTATGGGATTTCTTTGGAAGGTAATCTTTGACATTTGATAATACAAAGCATATATTGAGTAGAATTGATGCATAAGTGAATAAAAATCCGTATTGTAGTTCATAAATAAGACCATGGTCCTTAAAGAAAGGACTATTTCGCCATTTTTTATTTGTTTTTTCATTGATTGCAAAGAAAAATTCACCAAATAAACGCGCTAGATATATCAAAAAGAATATCAAATTGAAGTACTTCAAGAATTTTGCAAATTTAATATCAAATGCAAGTAAAACCGAAGCAATTTGATTACAGAACATTATAAAACGCAAGTCTTGATAAATCTTCCCAAATACCCCGCAAATAATAAAAATAATCATGAACTTCATGATGAATATAGTAATAAAAAACGTATTGATCAAACCAATACCATACGAGGTAAATTCCAATCGCAAATGAATAAAACAACCCTGGCATGAAGTGATTACGTAATTGGAATCTTAATCTTCTAATCATTATTGCTGAATAAAAATAAAACGGTAAAGTTAGAGCTATCATTACACAGAAATATATTAATGTACTAGGATGTTTACAGTAGCCATATGTCTGAAATTGGCAAACCGAGCTAGATGCTGTGATATTTGTCAGGAGAGTGAGATTTAACATAAAAAAATTTTACCAAATTGAAAGCTTTACAATAAGTCAATGAAAATTATAGATTTGTGCATTAGATTGAATGTTCAACAATATAAATAAGGGTTTCGTTTTGCGAAAAAAACGTACAATACGCAATTTCGCTAAAAAAACATTTAGCTAGCAATTTCGACCTTTGACTCCACTCAAGACGTCACTTTTTTAATTTTGCGGTATCTGCATGAAGAAAAAAAAAAAAAAGGGTAGTGGGGCTTCCAGGCACTTCGTGCCTTCTAGCCCTGATGTTGATGTTTAGTATAAATGAAGTTTTTATTCGGAGGACTCTTCTTCTTCCTCCATTGCTTCTGGGAAGAAGCCTTCTTCTGGGTCGAAAACATTATATAATGTGTCGCTTTTCACAAATTATATATGTTTTCATGTTTTGTCACTTTTCTGTCACTTTTCAGGAAAAAACATTTTTATTATTATATATAAATGAATTTTACAAAACCTCCGTTACCGTTCTTTGGAAATAAGAGTAAATGTAAAGATATTATATTGAGAGAACTTAAGAAACTACCGAATGGTCTAACATTTGTAGATTTGTTCGGTGGAAGTTTCTATATATCCCATTTGTGCCATATAATATTCCCAGACTCAAAGATTATATGCAATGACTTCGACAACTATATGGACCGTCTCAAACATATACCAGACACAAACAATATATTGAAAGAGTTAAAAGAAAAGATTCAGATAGGTAAGATGGAACGTATACCATTAGATAAGAAAAATATTGTGAGAGAGGTTTTGAAAAAAGCAGAATATATAGACTGGAATAGTATATCTGCTAGACTATTATATAGTGGTGCTATAAGAGTTCATGACATTGAAACACTTATGTCAAAAGTTTTATATCTTAACTATACAAATGTTTTCAAAGAGGACATAGAAAAATATATTGAGGGTATAGAGTTTGTGAGATGTCATTGGACAGATTTGTATGAAAAATATAAAGACAAGGAAAATGTTTTCTTTATAGTGGACCCGCCGTTCTATAACACATGGGATTTTCAATACCAAGTAGACTGGACTTTGAGAGACTCTTTAGAAACTTTAGACGTTTTACATAACCATCCATGCTTTTACTTTACATCCGATAAAAGTGGTTTGGAAACCGTTATGAGATGGTTAGAGGACATACATGACTATGAGTTTATATATGACAAGATAGAATATGAGAGAGGTCCTATAAACTGGAGAAAGTGTCATAACAAAGAAATTTTATTAGTAAGTAAATGTGGTTTGAAATAGGACTACTTGTTTTAGGTTTTTTCCATTGTGTCATTTATTTATTTGACGTGGCAGAAAAGTACAGAGAATATGAAGATGAACCAATGCCTGCAAATGTTCAGTATATGTACTCGTAAGAGATATTTTTATCTAATATTAAATGGACGCACAGAACTTAGCGAATGCACAGCAACCTGGACAACCAAACCCAGAGAATATTCCAAATGAAGTTAGAATACAAACTGCAATGGCAAACTATGGTCAAGTGCCAACAGATGTACAAATGCAAACTGCCATGTCAAATGACGCTGCGTTAGGTTTGCCACCATGGTATGCAAATATGAGATGGAAAGAGTTTTATACAAACCCTGAAGTGGGATATAAACAACTTTATGCAGATGACGCGAACACAGGAGTTGACCCAGAATATGTTTCTACCAGAGGAGAAAAGGAATGTATGAGCTCCAGTTAAAGAATGCTATGGAACTCAACAGGAAACGTAAGAGACTAGGCGGACATTAGATTTTTACATATAGTAAAATGGGTTTCTTTGGAAGAATAGGAAACTTCTTTCGAAATGTTGGAAAGAGGTATATGGAATGGAATAAAAACCGTAGGAAGAGGAATTTGGAACGGAGTCAAAAATATTGGTAAAAGAGTAGGTCAGTTCGTTGGTATTATACCTAAAGACCCTGAACCAGAAGAACAAGCTCCTGTTATACAACAGCCTGAACCTGCACCACAGTCTAGTTGGCAACCAAATCCAACACCTCAACCGTATTAAAAAATTATATTTTTACCGTTCGATAGTAGTTGTATATGAAACTAAGTTCTAAGTAAAACGCATGGTATAATGGAATTATTCTTTTTCTTCCATCTGTAGTAAACCATACTTGAAAGTCTGAAATACTTCCACTTGGTGTTCGTATAACTTTGTAGGTTTTTCGTAAAAGTCATTTGCCAAGCATAAGAAAGAGTTTTGGGCGCCAGAAAATGAAGCATGAACAATAATAGCAGCTGGGTCGAAAACATCTTTAAATAAATATGGTTCATCTCTTGCATATCGACTGTAAATATTTGCTAAAGGAAGTTCGACTTTCTGATTTAACATTCTTTGCAAATAATACCATGACATTGCAGTGAATTCTGTATATATTTGTTCGTCTTTATTTGGATTGTTTTCGTAGATTTGAAATGACACTTGTGAATTTTGTTTGTCATATACAATTCTCACATAAGTGTGCTCTCGGTATTTGCATATTCATCAGCATATTTTGCATAACATGAATTTATTTTATCTTCTATATTTTTTAACGCAGTCTGTAGAGAAGATGAAAGGTCAACTTGTATTAGCTCAATTTCTTCCCACATTTTTCGTTTCCCTTCAGATATATAATCTATATGAAACCTTACAATAAATGGAAAACTTTTATCTTCTACAGACACAAACTTCATTCTACGAAAGCCAATAGCTTTTGTGACAGATGGGTCTCTTAGCCATCTTAATGGGTAGTCAAAACGATAGCCTTCATGCTTTACGGTCTCTGTCTCAAACTTTTGACCGACATTAGTAAAAAGTTCATCTAATGGTTTAGTTGTAGCAACTCTTGAATTTTCTTTTTCTATTGGAAGCATATTTTATCTAGAAAAAAATGTCAAATGAAACAGCGTCTATGAGAGAAATACAACACAACCGACAACTCATTATGCAAGCTCTAAATAAGAACACAACAAACTTTTCAAACTATTCTAAGATATCTGAGTCATTGAAAGAAGGAAACTTAAAACTGACAATAAACCCAATGACAGATGAGTTTCTGTTTCAAGACAATAAGAACCATACTGTCTGTATAAATCCAACAAAAGGAACTTTAAACGAGAAACCTATAAATGAACTTCTTTTGAAAACAGATGTTGACAACAAAGCTGACAAAGAATATGTAGACGATGCAATAGCAAAAGAAGAAGAAAGAGCTAACAATGCTTATGCAACAAAAGAACATACTCATCCTGAACTAGCAGACAAAACATATGTTGACAATAAAATGTCAAGTGAAGTGACGAGAGCTGAAAACGAATATTCTAAAAAGACTCATACACATTCTATATCTGAAATAACAGACTTAAACGTTAGCCTTGAAAAGAAAGCAGATAAGGAATATGTGGCTAGTAAGTTAGAGAAGAAAGCGGATAAGGAATATGTGGATGAAAAAGATAACGAAATGAAAGAAAGGGTTGACTGGTACCATGAATGGACATCGAAGACTTTTAAAGTTAAAGCCGATACAGGATGGGTTTCAGGATGTTTAGACCTTAAAGCAGATAAAACTTATGTTAACGATGAGTTAGAGAAGAAAGCAAATAAGAACCATACACATACAAGTTTTACAACTGTTGCTATAGAAAGTATTGAAGGAACGGTTGAAGAAACTGGTGGGGATGTATTATATTGTAAACCTCCTAACTTTCCACAAGGTTTAACATCGGATGACGACATAACGACGATGAGAAACATTAGATGTAAAGATGTTTATGTCATGAAGGATGAACATAATATTAAATTCACTGCTCAAGATTTATATGACAAGAAAGCAGACAAAACAGAGCTTCAAACATTAAAGACAGAAATACTTCAAACATTATATCCTATAGGCTCTATTTATACGTCAATGAACTCTACCAGACCAGAAACAGTTCTGGGTTTTGGAACTTGGACTCAAATAGTCGACAGGTTTTTGTATTGTGCAAACTCTTCAAAGGAAACAGGTGGAAGTAAAACGATTTCAGGTGAAAATTTACCTGCACATAGTCACTACATAGATTTAAGTACATCTCAAGCAGGTTGGCATAAGCATAAATTTTGGGATTGGTCAGCAATGAAAAAAGGTAAAGGATATGATGTTAAAGACAACGTTCAGTTTGCTATAAATTGTTTCTGGGGTGACACTCAGGGAGATGGAAACCATACACATCGCGTTTCGGGATATACGCAAACAACGGGACAAAGTAAAGACTACATGCCACCTTACATGACAGTTTACGCATGGTATAGAATTGCTTAGTCGTCATTTTCAACTTCTTTAGCATATTCGTCAGGAGTTGTCTTATATTTGTTAGGAACTGTCTTTGAAAGTATACCACCTTGAACTTTGACAAGTTTGAAACGAGGTCTGACAATAGTAGTTTTATCTTCTGCTTGCAGTCTGTACATTTTGCCATGTTTGCCTAAAACTTCATAATATTCTCTTGTATACTTTCTTCTATTTTTACGAACACGAATGTGAGTACCTGTCGGGTTCCCATTGTTGTCATAGTCAATAGTATTTTCATATGGGTCGCGTTTAGGTATTTCTATTTTTACTTTGTCACCTTTCTTAAGTTTGAAGCCCGGCATTCTTTCTTGTTTGTCTCTTTTGACTAAATTATTAAATATATAGTCTTTCTCTAAGTCAGGGTTGTTTTTCATTTCTTCGGGGGAGTGGTTTCCCAAACCTTTTTGTTTACGGCTATTGTAAATATTTAAAACTTGTCTCATCTTTGCCATGGAGAAGTGTCTATATTTGTCGTCATATGACATTTCATTTGCTTCACCACCTTGTGGTTGGTTTAAGTCTCTTAACATTTTTATACAACCGTCAATGACACCAAGAGCAGAATGGTTTTGGTCGACAATGAAATATTGGTTTACATTTTTTGAACGCAGATAGTTTTTTACATCATCTGATTTGAAAGAACTTTCACAGTCAGATGTCAGTTTTGTTGGATGGTATTTGTCAACGAATATTGTCAAAGCAGTTTTCACATCTAAAATATTTTTGGACCATAATGGTATGGCTTCACAGTATCTTGTGTTTTGACCGACAAATATTAGCCAGTATGGTGGTCCATCTTTCTAACTCTCGGAATGTTTTCCAAGATATCCATAAACCAAGCATTTGGTGTTGAACTAAAGATTTTTATCATGAGTGCTTTTTTGTTGCCTTAGAAACATAGGGGTCCTTGTTTGGATTCGTCATTTTTTAACCCATAAGAAATGGGTTTATTTGGCGCATTAGCAGGAGTTGCATCCAGATTTTTGCCCGCAGTGGGAACAATAGCCAGAGGTGTATTTGGAGTTGGAAGGAAGATTTTGAGTACATTAGGTATACTTAAAGAGAAAGCACAACCTATTATACAAACTGTACAGAAAGGTTGGGATGTAGCACGAGATGCAACAAATCTTATTCCAAATCCTGAAACAAGAGGAAAAGTTCAAGGATGGATGGACAATGTAGGAAGACAAGCAGGAAACTATTATAACAAAGCAAATGACTACTATAACCAAGCAGGACACTATATGGACCAAGGTGAAAGATTCTTTAACAGAGGATATAACCATGCACAACAGTGGGTAAACAATAACCAACCTCAACCACCTCAAACGTGGGAATGTAAAGTTTTTTACTGAGATGAAATGAACAATACAGCATTGAGACAAATGGGTTCAAGATGGATTTGTCGCTTCCAGCAGTTACACCACGTGTTTGTCAAGTTCTTCCTATACCTCAGGAAGTTTTAGACCGACTTAAAAAACCTAAACAACCAGTTGAAAACAAACCAAACTAAATTTTTTACTGAGATGAAATGACCGAAGAAGTTGAAACGGTAGATTTGACACCACAAACAAAAAGTTCAGAACCATTGTCAAAACCGTCAAAGAACTTACAGATGAAGAGAAAAATTCAATAATAGAAAGTGCCAGGTCTGGAAATACAAACCCTAACTATAAAGTCACTTTTCATAGAAATGGAACGGCTAGTATCTCAAAAAAGAAACAGACTCTCACAAATAAAATATTGAAGTCTGAAGGAGCTTTCGAGACAACAGATGGAAAAGTTTACTTCACTGACCAACAGTTCATTATAGAACATCTCATTGACTTAGAGTCGAAATATTCTAAACTTTACAACAAACACAAAAAGTTGAAAGGAAAACAAAAACAAATGGCATATGATATTTACGAAGATGTTGACGACACAACATCCTGCAAGTGAGGTAAAGTCAGAGGAACCGAAAAGTGACGAAAAACCGATAGAAGAAGAAAAACCAAAAACTGAAGATAAACCAAAACCAAAGTTTAGTTTCCAAACTAAACCAAGTCAACCTTCATTAGCTGGTATGGGTTGGCGTCAAAGACTTATGGCAGCAGGCGGTTATGTAAAGTAAAGAAAAAAAACATTTTTTTATTTTTATAAAAATGCCCCCATATAGAATGGATAGAAAGTCTGCTAGAATAAAAGCAGAGTTACAAAGATATGGTTGGAGAGTTTCGAAGAATTTTAAATATAAGAAAGGAAGACCCATAAAAGTCTATGACAAACTGGCTGGTCTTCGCTACGAAATGGATTTGGAAACAGCACGTGCAAATTATCCAAACAGACTAGAGAGGTTAGAAGAAGAACGTCTTATGGACATGTCTTTCGATGTTAGTGAACCTCAAGTTGAAGGACACGACGGCTTTGCCAGATTCTACTGGAAACATGACGAACAATTGCATCCTTTGAGAAGGAAAAAAGGAAAAGGTGAAGACGCACATGCTCCCATGGAAAGAACAAGATATGCATATGAGAAGTACCGTGAAGTTAGAAGTCAAATTACATCTGGTCGAACCTTTACAGTAAACTTTGACGAAGGAAAGAACAAAGAAGGCTTCATGGGTGTACTTGCTGCCATACAAGACGGAAATAAGAAAGGATACAATCTCAGATTGACCATAACAGATTTGGATGGTCACATTTACTATGCAAATGGCAATGAACAAACAGCTGCAAAACTTCTTGACGCTTTCAAGACTACAAAGAGAGAACAAATGGTTGACTCCGACTCAGACATTTTGAATGCAATTGAAGGAATTGCAAGTGTCAAGTTCGAATGGTACCAACCTAACCCTCAAGCAGTCAGACAACATGCTGGATACTTCCCCTTCATAAATAAGTCTGACATTGACTTGACAAGGTATGGAATTTACAATTCAATTGAAACAATTGTCAATGAACCTTGTATTCTTACATGTCTCAGGAACTCTGGTCTTGTTACAGATGAGAAGATGAAGTATCTTGAGTCATGTGTGAAGACAAGGTACATTCTCAGAGGTCAATTGGCAAAAATTGCACCGTTGGCAAATGTCAATATCCGAGTCAACATACCTACAGCTAAAGGTTCTTCACATGACGACTATGTTGTTGAGTTCAATTTACCATGGTTGAAGATTGCAATTGTCCACAACCACTTCATGTTGAACGAAAGTCTTACAAACCCATTGTTCGGAAAAGGCAAGTGCAACATTGTCAGAGCTGTAAACATTCTTTTCGAGAAAGGTTTGTTGGAACCAATTCCAGATGACAAGCTGACAGAAACTTTTGTACCAAAAGACGAAACAAACTTTTCACTGTTAGCAAGACCAAAAGTTGTTCCAGACAAAGTTCTAGTACAAAAGAAGTACACAATTCCACAAGGAGTTGGATTGTTCGGATACCAACCTGAACCAGAAGAACTTCCAATGAGGTTGCAAGAACTTCAAGATGCTATAAACAAACTTCCATTGAGACATCCAATTGACGTCAAATTGTATTGGAGAGCATCTGAGTTAGGTCAGAAGGTTTTATATGAAACAGGTTGCTTCGACGATGTTTATGAGATAACAGGAGAAGTTTCTCAGAAGATAAGAGACTCACTTGAATTTCCACAAACTGGACCAATTGGTTGCGACAAGTTCGACTCAGATGAAAAGATATACTATGTCGACCTTAACGCTGCGTACATGAGGTTTGTCCAATATATTCCGACTGGAATTCCAAACGAAGATGGTGAGTTCCCGGGAAGGAACTATACAGTTGGAAAAGTCATACAACAACTGTATGATATTAGGAAAGCTTCAAACCCCAAACTTGCAATGACACTCAAATTGCTTATGAATTCGACATGGGGATATTCCATTAAGAAACCTCAAGAGATGAAGAGTAAACATTATGAGAAGGTCGACAACTTTGTTGAAAGGTTTTCTCCTTTTGTTTTGAAGTACGAATTCACTCAAGGTCAAAGTGGCTTAGTAACCACATTAAAACCTATTGTCGAACATTGGTCTTACCCTCAGTTCGCAAAGGCAGTCCTTGACAACTACAACAAATTCTTCTCCGAAGTCAAATCCAAAGTCAAGGTTTACTATGAGAACATTGACGCACTCATGACGAACGAAGAAGGATACAACAAACTCATTGAAATGGGAATGGTCGGTGAAAAGATGGGTCAATTCAAATTGGACAAAATTTTCACCGAAGTTCATGTCCTCTCCAAGCGTAAGTACTGGGGTGTTAAAGAAGATGGTGAAATAGTTAAACATTGCATGAAGTAAAAAATTTTTATATTCCTTCTTAGCTAATTTCCGTTTAATTTCATGGTCGCCCTCGGAGTCTTTGAATCGGACAGGTCGAGTTACACCATTCTTGGTCTCAAACTCATATATAACCTGTTTGTCTGTATTTTCGTCGACTATGGCACGAGACACAAACATTGACCAAACGGACAAAAAGTGTCATTTCGGATGGTCACGCAGCCAATCGCATTCGAGCACTTCGAAGAAGCCTTACGTTCCAAGGGAGAGGGTGTCTGGTGCAAGGCAGAGGTCATGAAACTCTACGAGCAGTACATCCTCAATGCCTGGGAGGACAAATCGTCCTTGGATTGGCAATTCTACCAACTCCTCTGGGACGACCTCCTACGCAACTGGGATAACGAAAGAGCCCAATTCAAAGGTCGGGAACTAATTTTGCAAATTACCCTTAATTTAACATACTTATCCAAATAAACACCTAAATTTACTTGGGGTTTCCCCCTAAAATAAAATTTTTTTACTCTTAGAACCACTCGAGGTTCTCCTTACGGTTGTTGAGCTTGTCACCGTCAATGTGTCTGACCTTCGTCTTCTTGCCTGGATTTGGAACCCATTGAATTGCGACAAGCTTGCCCATGGAGATTGAACCGCGATTCCGAAGGTTAAGGTTCAAGTGTCCCAAGTTGTTGAGGACTGGGGTAAGAACCTTGCCTGTCGCCTTGTTGCGGATTTGGTATGGGTAGGGTTGGGAAATTTCGTAACCGTCATCGGCAACAAGGGTTGCCCATGTAGCGGCTTCAGGAACTTCTTCGTGTTTCTCTTCTTCCTCTTCTTCCTCTTCTTCCTCTTCTTCCTCTTCTTCCTCTTCTTCCTCGACAATTCCTTCTTCAATTTGGTACTCACGAAGTACGGTGTTGCATGTTCTGTCCTTTCCGAGTACCTTCCAGATGGCGTCTATCTCTTCGAAGAAACGGTAGATGAGTCTGGCAAGGTCTCGGTTCTCTCTCTCGTAATTGCGCAAGGTTTCCGTGAAATCGTTCAGGCATTTCTCATTGGAAGCTTGGTTCATGAGGACATCGGCTTTGAGATTGGTCATCTCTGTCATAAGACTACTTTGGAGAGTCTTAATGGTGTTTGTCAGATGAGCTTTCAATTGGGCAATTTGAATTTGAACTGGGCGCTTGTCTGGCAACCTTGAAAGGACATCTTCCATTGAGTTTGGCTTCGGTGCTTGTTCGGACATCGAAAAAATGAAGTGGTTTGAGAATGACGGTTTTACTTCAAAAAGCCTGTTATGACAGTTATGTCATACAACAAGTTTAAAATAATATCTTGTTCTTCTTCTGAACGTTTGTTGTCTCTTCCGATAAAAGTTTCGAACATGAGAACCAAAAAACGTTTTTTGAGATTGCGGAAGAGTTCAGGCAAACGTTCATATTCTGGATATGTTGGGAGCAGTTCAAAACATCTGAGCTGACTTTCGGACAAAATTGGGACAATGTCAACAAATTCATCTTTGGTCGGACTGCTTGAAGGTAAGTCCCTTACATGTAAGTAGCTCTGGTAAAGTCTTCTCATTTCTGCTAACTTTTGGAGTATAGCTTCGTAGTTTAGAAGTTTTAATTTTAATTGTCTTATTCCACTCTTGACATCTAAACGGTAACTATCCATGAGGTCAAGAGTAGCTTTGGTAGCTTTAAGTGGAGCTATCTGTTCCTTGACCTCTGCAATTTTGGTTGCAATTGTGGTTTGAGCTCCTTCAAGTTCGCCGTCTATGTCGTTCTCAACGCCTTCAACCATGGCTTGAAACTCTTCATCGGTCCATTGAGATTGGTGTGGGACGAATTTAACTTGCTTCATTCAAAAAATAAAAAAAAATGTTTTTACTCAAAACGTTAAGGTTGACTGAACTGGTTGGATGTCGCCTTCACAGGTTATGTAGAACGGCTGACCCGAGAAGTGAAGGAGAGACTGAATTGCCAATTTCATATGGGGTAGGGGGTTCTCCTTGTTTGGTATTTTTATCCAAGGACGTTTGTTTAGGAACTTAACAAGAGTTTCTCTTTTGGCGTCCTTTATGTCGTCGAAAGGAGTTTTTTCTGGTATTTGAATTGGAATTCCAGTCGAAGTCTCGAGATTCAAGGCAGCCCTTCCAGAAATAGCGGTGAACTTGACCTTGGGCTTCATTACCCTGCGCAAGTACTGCTTAACAACTTCATTTATCTCTATAAGGTAAATTGCCTCGTCAAATCCTTCTGGTATTCCGAGTCCTTCCATCCGACAGGAAAATATTTTCCCGACAACTGGAAAAAATTTTCCGGACAAAGGGAAAAAATTTTCCCGACGACAGGAAGAACTCTTCCAGTTGTCCGTCCGTAAACCATTCAAATTTTCGAAAATTGAGAACTTTTTGGTCGAACTTCAGAAAAAGTTTTTCCTTCCGACAGAAAAAGTTTTTTCCTCCGACAGAAAAAGTTTTTTCTTCCGACAGAAAAAGTTTTTTCTTCCGACAGAAAAATATTTTCCATCCCACAGGACACAAACGAATGTCCGACGTCCCACCAACCGAGTCCATTCCCAAACCAGAGGAACCTAAAGCACCAGCCCCTGCACCTCAGTTCCAGCAAGTACCTCCGATTTACTACCAATTTCCACCTCAAGGTTACTACCCACCACAAGGCTTCCCGAACTACCCTCCTCAGCCTATGCCTTACTTCCCCAACCCTTGGATGTTTATGCAAAACCCTGCCCCACAATTCCAATCTCAATCCAAGAGAGACCAAGAGTTCGAAGAAGGTCTGAACCGTTTACGCAAAGAGTATGCCACAGCTCCAATGGAAGAAGACAGGCTCTCACTCTCTTCCCTCAAATCGACCGATTCGACTCGTACCACAGATTCAGTTCGTGACCGTGAAGACTACCTCAAGCAGTCTGAGAGACTCTTCATCCTACAATCATTTACAGTTGGAGCTCTCAAGAACATGCGCAATTACGAAGGTCAGACACCAGCTGGAGACCGCAAAACAGACGTACTCGCAAGAGCCGTCCAACTGGTCAAGACAAAGACTGAGATAGTCGACTTCATTCTTGCAGCTTGCCCATACAAGTAAAAAAATAAACAATTACGAGTTAAACTTTTTATTCTTTCTTTTCTGAGTTGTTTAGAGCTGGTTTCTCTTGTAGGAACCTTTCGTACTCTTCCATGGTCATGTAATTGCGAATTTTGTACGCAATTCCAGGTTCGTTGTTTTTGAACCTTACGTATGTAACGCTTCCATCCTCCTCAGGGAAGTAAGCTGCTAACATCTGACCAAGTTTTCTCGGTGACTCGGAGCTCATTAAAAATGTCACTTTTTAAACGTTAAGTTTTTAGTCTTATTTTACCCTTTGTTTACCCTTTGTTTGTCAAGGTAGTATTGGAGTGCAATTTCTCCAAATTCTCTGTGTCGGAGTTCTTCAGCATTTTCCAAGGTGTACCTGGAGAACTCAAAGAAGTTGTCAAGAAGATACTGCCATGCTGCTCTTCTGAGTTCGTCGGTATTTTGGAAGTGTTGCACCTTCGAGTCTGCGGACATGAAAAAATGACACTTTTTCTATTAAACCGTTTTGGCATTTCTCATGAGTGAGTATAGTTCTGCCGAACCATTGGAAGAGAAGAAGTACTCTTGCTGGCAAAAGACAAAAATAGTTGCCTTAGTTGTCATTGCAATTGTACTCGTAATTGAATTCATTGTACTTCTCTTCACGTACATAAAACTCAGCAATGGTATTTGCTTTAAGAAGCTACCATCTTACTAAGACTAAACACTTAGATTTTTCAAGCTTGACTTTTTACAATTTGAATTTTGTTGCTGAATTCAGTAAAAATATAATTTAGGGTAGAAGGTTAGATCTAACCTCATTTCTACCCTCATTTCTACCCTCATGAATTTTCATGAATTTTCCCGAAATAAAAAATAAAGTTATTTTTATTTTTTTTATTTTTTTTATCCGGAATATAAAGACAGATATGTCAACAACCGAGAACACAACAACAGTTATAGTCCATGAAGCTATAAATGAGAATACGAGTACATACAGTTTAACAAACAATTGCGTCTAATTCGTTCGGTCAAAGACGATATGTACCAAATGCAAAGTATTTTGACTGCATGTTTTGCTCCAGATACCAAACACGCAGACGATTGGTTCAAAAACCGAAGCACACAAGAACTTTTGAGTGAAATTTCTCTAGACCGAGAAATTCTCGGCCTTGCATTAAAACACATGAAAATCGTAAAAAAATTTGCCAATAAATTTAAGAGGATATTATGTACATAGACTTCTTGTAAATGCCGTAGCAATGTGGGCTTCACCTCGTTATGCTTGGTATATTTACAGACTTCTTGACGAACTTCACAGACAAGAACGTGAAGAGATGGAAAAGAAACTTCATGCAAAAGATGAAGTCATTGAAGCAAAAGACAAAAGCATTCAGAAAAGAATACCACGTTCGGTACCAAAAGGAAAGGAAAAGAACTATAAGTATATGATTTATACTGAAGAGATGGAAAATGAAGAAGATAAAGATATGGTTATGTTGCATTTAGTCAGAAGAAACAACAAAAGCTTTTACGACCTTGCTAAGATTTACAAATCTGACAGAAATTGGTTCTATCGCGAAAACTTACCGATTTCAATGACCCCAAATGAAGATGTGAAACAAATAGTTCAAGATACGTTACCTCAAACACACTATGATATTAAAGGTTGTACAATACTTACATTCAAAGAAGATTTGTCATTGTTAAAGGAAAAAATAACAGAGTATTTTGACAACTTCAAACAAGTAGAGTAAATGAACCATTTATTTTTCAAGCTTGACTTCAGATGGCTCAGGTAGCTCTATAAAGTAAATTGCCTTGTCAAATCCTTCTGGCATTCCGAGTCCTTCCATCCGACATTCCGAGTCCTTCCTTCTGGCATTCCGAGTCCTTCCTTCTGGCATTCCGAGTCCTTCCATCCGACAGGAAAAAAATTTCCCGACAACTGGAAAAAATTTTCCTTCCGACAGGCAAAATTTTTTCTGTTGTTCGTCCGTAAACCATTCAAATTTTCGAAAATTGAGAACTTTTTGGTCGAACTTCAGGAAAAGTTTTTCCCGACAACTGGAAAAGTTCTTCCTTCCAACAGGACACAAACGGATGACTGACGTTCCTCTTCCTGAATGCCTTCCAAAGCCAGAAGAACCGAAAGCTGCAGAACCACAACAGACTTACTAAGACTAAACACTTACATTTTTCAAGCTTGACTTTTTACAATTTGAACTTTGTTCGCGTAGATATGAATTCTGAAAGAAGTATGAGGGTCTTGTATGACTTTGTACTTCTCCCAGAGTTCATGTCTGTCAAACTTACCTGCCATGGACTCTTTCATAAGTTCCATGAAATCGTCTTCGGACAATCCGGGGAAAAGTATTATGTCAGTAAGTATTCTTTTAACATCCTTACTTAAACTCTTTGCTGTCTGTACACAAATGACAACTGAGATGTTAAAGTGTCTGAGCTTCTTAAGAATTCGACACATGTCTTGTTCTCTATTCTTTAACAAAGGATGAGAGGCGAAATCATCTAAGATAAGAAGACATCTATGAGGGTAAGTCTTCCAATCGTAAGATTGCAATTTCTTCGAAATGTATTCTATCTCTTTCTGTTTGTTTCTGAAGTGGTGTTTGTCTAATATTCTCTGCATTTCCTCATTTGGGTCTTTAAACTTAGAATTTATATACTCATTTATAGCATTATACTTCAAAACTCTTCTTTGGTACTTCTTTATCCAATCTAACAACTCAGTATCCTTTATACATACTAACTTAGACTTCTTTATAATATCTTTGAACGAATTGACGGTTTGGTCAAATTGACCAGAAGTACTACAAATAACAACTAACTCATAAAATGGGTTTTCTCTCATCTAGTTCTTGTTGTTGTGCAGCCATTTTAAGATAAGTGAAAGTCTTACCCGACCCAGGTGGTGCAATTAGACCTGTTATACCATTCTGAGCAAATAAGAACTTTTCATGTATAGGTTTTATCTGAGCATTTTCTAACTTCCTCTTGTTCTTGTTTAAAACATTCTCAAATTTCTTGTCAATGTCAGCAAACTTTTTTTCTAACATATTTTTAGAAAAATTAAAATTTTTATCTTTTAGAAAATGTCTAGCGATTTCGCTATCTATATTCGAGACAAGCTTTTCGACAGCAAAACATCTGTCGACCATAAAATCTTACATAGTGTAAACAAGAAAGGGGAATTTGTTCTAAAGTTCTGTTTCTGGGAATATGACAAGAACCATAAAACATTAAGCAGAGAAGTCTTAAAATTTGTCAATGACAGACTTGTTGACAGAGATGACGCCTCTTGGAAAGATGAAGTCCAACAAAATTTCTTAGAATGCAAAGAAGACACATGCGCTGTTCTTGAAGATGAAATAGAAAACAGAATAGATGAGCTATTAAAGGACAAAGAACTTTTACATAAATATGGTTCGGAGAAATTTGACATAACTCCACCAGAAAAGAAGAAGAGAGAAAAGAAAGAGAAGAAAGTAAAAGAAGAGAAGAGAGAAAAGAAAGTAGAAGAAGAGAAGAAAGAACCTGAACCAGTTCCAGAGAAGGGGAGATATGACATGTAAAAATAAAATTTTATTTTTAGAACATTTCTGGGTCAATGTCAATGTTCTCTTCCTCTTTAGGGGCAAACACTGGCTTAGACTCTAAAATCTTTTTACCCAATTTACCTTGAACTTCAACTATCTTAGACTCATAATATTCATAGTCGTCTGCTTTCTTTGGTTCATAAGGTATAACAAGTTTGTATGCTTTGCCTTCTTTAAGGTTTGAGAACCTTCTGTCAAAATTTTCTTTGACTGCTAACAAACCTTCTATGTCTAAGTCTTCAAATTTCGCACTATTTTTAGTCACAATAGCAAACTTAACTGGTTCGATGTTCCAAACTTTGCTGAATGAAGACTTTTCAAAATGGTAGAAGTAAACATTCAAATATGTGAATGGGTCTAGTTCTTCTTTAAGTCCTGACATATACTTGTTTACTGAGATGAATTTTGTCATCTTTTCTTCAGAATAAAAAATATTTTTTTAAAAATTTACTCAGAAAAATTTTTCTTTGTATATACACCATTCTGAACATCTAAAAGACTTTTGACATTTGCCAAGAATGTTCGTTTAGACGCTGTCATATAACCATATTCTTGACAATATTGTTTATACGAATCGTACAATGACCTTTCATCTAAACACTCAAAGTCAGTTTCATCTATGAACAGTTCATATACACTCTTGTTTGCTTCTAACAATGTTTGTCTCTCTTCGGTATGTGGAATTTGTCTTGGATTGAACTTTGAAATATCTAATGTCATAAAATATGAGAACAAGTGGTTGTAAAAGTCAGATGTCAAAGTTTCTGCTAAGTCGTCAAAATATTCTGTATCTTGCATATGAGAATCTGACGTTCTGACAACTACATATCTTCTGTCAGAACTTTCTAACTTCATCGGAACAGCATTGTTTGAAACCATAATGAAGTTTGCAACATTTTCACAAACTCTTTGGTCTTTATACTTTCTTTCAACAACTCCAACTTTGTCTGTTATAAGACTCTTCAAAGCATCTGAGTTTAAAACTTTTGTTGTATCTATACTTTGAAGTTCATTGCAAACTATAAGTTTCATATTCTCTATTGAGGAGTTAAATTTACCGCAGATGTTTTCTATGTTTGTCATATTCGGGTTCGAATAGCCCTCTAACAGTTTGCACAAAATATCTGTAAAGAAAGTATTCTTACCAGTTCCTTGTTTTCCAATTATAATGAGAGCAGTTTCATTTTTAGCACTTGGATGTTGTAAGATGTTTGCAAACCAACATAAGATATACTCATAGACTCTTTCGTTTCCATTGCATATAATTTCTTTGACATGGTCTAACCAAGCTTCTATAACATTTTCTTTCCATTCTACTTGTTCATATTTATATCCAGTGAAGATAGAATAGAAGTTTGGAGAAGGTGTATAGAACTTTATACCTCGAACTGAAAAATCTTCTAACTTTGACAATAAGATATCCCAAGCATCTAACATCTTCATGCCAACTTGTACAACTTTTTTTTCTTAAGTTTCTGTCTACATTCTTGTTCTGAAACTATTGTCGCTTTAGGTTTGTTAAAGACTACATCCCATTCTTTCATAACATAACATTCTGGGCAGAGTCGACATAAATGACTAAACGTTTCAAATTCTCGACTGCTTTGTTATAGTCTCGAAATGGACACATATTTCTGAATGCTTGGAAGTCATAAAAATCTGAAAACATCTATTCTGTACATTTTTATAAAAATAAAAAAAAATATTTTTTTTTATTCTTGACTTTGTTGTTCATTGTTGCATTTGTTGTTTCTTGAGCTATTTGTTGTTGAAGTTGTTCTTGTAATACAATACTTTCACCAGTTGCATCTTCCAATTCGAAACTTTCTGCCGTCATTGACAAATACATAGGACATAAAAGTTTTACAGGAACAAAGTTTTGCGTCAACTAATGTCAACGTTATACTTGCCAAAAGTGTTTGAGTTCACTAAGGTTGAAAAATTCTGCATTCGATGAACAATAGGCAAACCAGCAGAGAAAGTTATTGTTTATACGCATAAGTATCTTTTGGTCATAATAGTTTCTGTCGACATTCGAATAACACTTTGAACCTAAGTTTGAAACAATATATAAGATTGGTGTGCTTAATGTCAATGGAATAGACATTCCTTGTAATGACACCTTTTCCTGTTATAGGAAACTGTTGGTAGTAAAAACCAGAAATAAGTTTTGTATTTATAGCTCATATCGTTTATAGTAAACTCAGTCGGACATCCAAACATAATGAAACCTGCTCTAGTTGCAGCACATGTTACACCCGTACTTAAAGTATTAAATAAGTCAACAAAACCTGTTGGTGGTATATCTGAGTAAGTATCTTCAAAGGAGTTTTTTTACCATTCACAACAATAAAGTCTTCTGGTGTCAAAAGAGCAAAACAGGCTTTAGTCGTCATTGTGTTTAAAGTTAGTTTACAATACCGTCCTTGAGGACTTTGTAAGTTTTTGTTGTTATAGATTATATGACTCAGGGTGTTTAGTCGTAATAGTATAAACCATTATATCTTCTGCCATTTATATATATTTAAAAGTTTTTCTGAAAGTGGAGAAGAACTTCATCTAAACTTTCACATGGCGTTTCTTGAAGTTCTCTGTCTAAGAAGTTCAAATATTTTGTAAAGACATAGAACTTTCCTTTGTCTACACGAACAAACAAAACAGGGTCTTTCATATCGTTCAAAAGTGTGTAAAGTCCTTTACATGAAATAAAGTCTATATTATTTTTCTTCAAACATCTTTCAAAGAAGTTTTGACATTTTTACTTAGCAAATAAATTTTAATGAAATGTTGTGGTCGTCAAATATTTTTATGACGTCTGGGAAACTATACTTTAAGTTCAACGTTTCACCTCCTTTCATAACGTATATCTTGTCAATGACATTATATGAAACACCACAGCAAACTAATGTCGGGTTCTATTTCTTTTGATGTTTATATCGTCTGCCTCTGTCAAAAGTTTCAATAGTTCTTTCAAGACTTCATGAGGTGCAATGACATATGAGTTCACTTTTACAGGGTTGTGTTCGACCAAGTTTAACATTATACCTAAAGCTTGACAAATCTTCTCCTGAGTTTGAAGTTTGTCTTTCAGTTGTTGGTAGTCGTTTCGAATATCTGCAACAGAACTTAAGTCTCTGCTAACTTCAGGATATGTTGGTTGTTCTTTTACAGGAACAATTGTTATACCATCTTCGTCTTCGTATGGTTTCCCCACTTCAACATCTCTGTCTTTGACATTGACAACAACACTTTGACTGTTTGTTTGAGTTGGTGAATTTAACTTCACATCTGCCACCGCCATTAAACCTTTTGAAACACTCACGCTTCTATTTTTCGGAAATGACATTTTACTTAGAATAAAAAGATGGACGTATTCGAGTATCTCTTCGAATTGAAGCAGAACAAAGTTTACACACACAAACAATACAAATACATTGACAGAATAGTTCTTTACACAAACAATGGAAAATGTTATAGAATAGCAGTCTTTGCTGAACCTAAATATTTTCATAAAGCAAAGAAAGTTGGTATAACCGAGATGGTGAAAGTTCTTGAAGCAGACAAAAATATAACTTCAAAACTTACAGATATTTCTAAAGGTAAGTTTATAATACAATATTATGTCAAAACTGGCGTACTGTCAATATTTGACGGAGAGAAGTCAGTTCAAGAACAACTTACTGACCTGCTGCCAAAATCTGCTCGATGGAAGCTGTCGTTATGCCAATCTGAGGAGCCCCAGCAGGTTTCATCGAACGAATCTTCAAAAGAGCATCTTCCGTGAAAAGTGCTATTGGTTTTGTAAACTTCTTTGCTCTCAGTTCATCTGGACCGTCTCTGTCACCAGTATATTGTATTTGAACTGTACCAACAGTTGAAATACCACCCATAAAGTCTTCTGAGTCAGCAAATGGAATGCCAAGCCAAAAGTTTGAACGGTCTCCATTTGTATATTGAGTTTTTTGACCTCCTGTATGAGTCCATACTTTCACATATGGCATAATAGAACTTTGCATTTCAGGGTTTATGGTTGTTGTGAAATTGTTGTTAAAGTTCATAGCATCTAATGTCAAGTTGTATGACCTCATATCCTCAACTGTAGAATATTCTTCTCTTGGATAATATTTGCCATCTATGTTTATATGATATTTAATACCGGGTTGTAGAAACAAGAATAGTCATTTATAGTTCGTCTGAACAGTACAAACATAGTATCTGCATGTTTCATTGCAGTTGTTAAAGCAATATCTGTTCTTGCACCTGGGTCAGCACTTTGGTTTCCAACTTCACCTGCAAAGTCTTTGACAGATATTTGGTGTATAGGGAACATAAGTGGAACTGCAATATATTTGGCAGCTAAAGCATTTGAAATATCTGGGTCCAACATATAGACTGCAAGTCTGCTTTCTATTCTCTTGCATTCAAACTTTTCGCATGTGAACTTAACTGGGTCCCAAGCAGTTCCAGCAGCATTGAAATAATAGTTTACTTCATTGTTGAAGTTTGAGAAACCAAAGTCTAAGTCAACTTTGTCTTTGCAAAAGTCACAGAACTTGGCTCCACCAGTTCCAGCTATAGTAATGCTGAATGGGTCTTGTGTTGGTGCAATGACTAAGTTATTTTTGCTTGGAGTAAGTTCGATAGAAATTTTTCCTGCCCAGTTTGGCAAGTATCTTAAAAACCTGAAGATGAGGAAAGATGACAAAGGAACTCTAAGTTTCAGTTTTACTTTAGTGGCAGCAGTTCCATCTGAACCAGAAAGGTTAACATAAACTCCTGGAACGTTAGGGTCAAGTCTTCTTATTTTCTCAATATTTGCATACTGGTCTGTTTGTTCTCTAGCTTGTGGTTGTACTGAGTTTCTCAAAGCGAACCATTCATAGTTTGCCCATGTTACTGTTTGAACTAAGTCAGAGTTAGAATATATCTTATATCCCATGAAAACTTCTGGAGCATATTGGTATCCGACATAGAAAATTCCATTGCAACCTTTCTTGTCAGACAACTTGGCAGAAGGTTTTATTTCAATGTCTTGTTCCACGTATAAGAATGAGTTGTCAATAGAAATAATATGAAACCTGTCGCAAGCAATATCTACTGTTGTTGAAGAGCCTTCTCCAAACTCACCTACGTTTCCATAAGAAACAGCAGTTGTATATTCGTAAGTTCCAGGAACTATTTCTGACCTTCTAATGGCATTGTCGCATTCGTTATACCATTCGGAAACATTTCCGTTCATGGCATCCAAAACTGTTGGCGTTATATTCTGAGCGGCGTACATTTCATATGGGTAAAAATATAGAATAGTTGGATTTATATATCATAATAGAACCCACTCGGACCAAGCTTTACTTTGTTCTACTCTTCTTCTTTGGTGTCGCTTTTGGTAACTTGCCCCCTGCTTCAAGTTGTTGCATCTTTGCCTCATGTTCACCTAGTATGTTGTAAATTTCCCATGTCCTTTTTGCCTTTGGGCTCTGGTCGCCCATCTCAGGTAACCTATATCCTAGAAAGATTTTGTCATAGTTTGTATTTGAGTCTTCGCGTATTGTTTGCATGACTCTTTCCTGAGTTTCCGGTTCAAGCTCTTCAAACAGAGCTTGTCCATATGGAATAAGCTCGTTTCCAAATATATGTTTTTGTAGCCATTCTGGTTTTCTTTCCATGTTACCAATAATATCTTTTGTGAATGGGAAAGCTTTTACCCAACGTTTCAGTCTTGCGTCATTTATTTCTGTAGTTGGTTTTATTTTGTCAAGGAACATGTTTTTCAATACTAACATTTCATTTGGTACTGTCCATTTGAGTTTTCTTAAATATTCATCCCTTCTCAGTTCATTGTCTGCAAAGTAAGTTTTTATGACATTTTGCAAACTTTCGTTTGCAAGGTCATGTACAATAGGTTCTCTTCCTTCTCTATCCCTAACTTTCTTTCTAAACTCTTCACCAAATATACCATCTTTATGGTTCTGTGTAGTTCTTTGAGATAAATGTTCTAGAACGTCAGGTGTTATATTTCCATCAGCCATGTTCATTTCATACTGGTTCAAAATATCTGCATCTTTCATATCTTTCAATGGCATTAAAGCCGCGCTGAAAATACCAGCTACATCTGGTTCACCATTCACTTCCATTGCGTCTACAACTTCTTGGAATTGTGGTTGTAAGTTTATGAACCACCTATCCGGATTAGCTTTATGACCCCATCTCATTGTAGTTCCATAGTCTGCAGAAACAAAAGTAGGTTTGTTTCCATATTGGTTAGGTTCTGAATGAACTTTAAAACAATGTTTCATTTCTATATGTTTTGTTGAAATTTAACCTTTTATTTTCACCGAGTTCAGCCAAAGATTGAACGTTATATGGTCGTAAGTAAAAAGGATTGTTGTATTTGCGTACATTTTCTTTCAGTTCTTCCATTCTATGCTGAATATTTTCATCTGATGTTGGAGTCTTTTGTATGTCGGCGAACATTTTTCGATATTCTTCTACTATGTCAGCCGAATTTTTCTTAGACTCTTGGAAAGATTCCATATTCTCCGCATACTCTTGTTGAGGGTCAAGATTTTTCGGCTGTTCCAAATCTTCATCTAGTTCTGTGAAGTTAGTTTCCAAAGGAGGGACTTGTTCGTTTCCTTCAGGCTCTTCTAGCTGTTGTTGCTGAACTATTTCTTCCATGTCTGGTTGTATCTGAACTTCTTCCTGTGGAGTTTCTTGTACCTCATCTGCTGGCATTTCATATATTCCGAGACCGTTTTTTAACAAGTTCCCTATTTAAGTCATCCGCATTCATAAACCCTTTCTTCTTTCGTTCCGTCTCTATTTTTACGCGTTTCATGAAGATAGTTGAATTATCATTTATCTCTGACACCAAATATCTCGGAGTAAATTCATCATGTCATTTGGATGATATGCTATTAAATCATATCCCTTAGCGAGCTTGTATTTTCCAGGTTTGAAATTATATCCCATTTGGTGCTGAACCATAAAGCTAAATAGGTTCGGGTCAGTATTTCCTTCCTTGAACTTTCTAATAGCTTCTTTATATCTGTCACTAAGTCCAAGAGTATCTGGGTAACCATAGTCTTCCTTAAGCATTTTTAAGAATTCTTGGTTTCCTTGTTCTCTACTTCTTTTATGTCCTTGCTCTGTTTGTGGTTGTTGTTGTGCAGGGTTTTGAACTGTTGGTTGTGGTGCTGGATTTTGAACTGTTGGTTGTGGTGCTGGATTTTGAACTGTTGGTTGTGGTGCTGGATTTGAACTGTTGGTTGTGGTGCTGGATTTTGAACTGTTGGTTGTGGTGCAGTGTTTTGAACTGTTGGTTGTGGTGCTGGATTTTGAACTGTTGGTTGTTGTGTTGGTTTTGGTGCATGCCTGTGTCTGTGTCCATGTGACGATGTAAATGTTTTAGGTAGTCCTGGTGCAGGTGCTTCTCTTGGAGGGTTTGGTGGTATATAAGTTCCACTAGCTAGTATATAAGTTCCACCAGCTGGTATATAAGTTCCACCAGCTGGCACATATGTTCCATCTGCAAGCATAATGTCCTACCTGACTTTTTCGTTTTTAAGAAAGCATTTACTAGGTCTGTTTTGGTCTGTTGTAACTCTTTTTCTTGACTTTCCACAACAGTTGCTCTAACGGCGTCAATAGGCACTTTGAACTGCCTGTCTCGTTGCTGCATCTGTTATTTTCGTCATATTTTGTGCTACTTCTCTTAACTCTTTGTCGAAACCTTCAGACTTCAGTTTTCTTTCCAGATGAGAAGTCGTTCACTAGTTTCACCTTACTATGAAGAGCTTCGAAGGCGTTCTTAAAGTCAGCATTCCATTAAAGCTTCATTTGAACTGTCTTCATCCGCTTTGTATTTTTGTCCTTATTGACCCTATAAGTTGGGCTGCTTTGGCGTTGGCTGGGCATCTAACCAGTCATTATTAGCTTTTATATATTCTGCGCTTTTCATTGCCTTTTGCATGGCTGCGTCGTTATTTTTTACTTTCTTGTGCTAAGTTTTCATACTGTACGGTTTGGTTTTGCAACTGTAAAAGTTTTTCTGCCTTTACATTTGCTTCAACTTTCTTTTTTATACTCATCGCTATCCATATATGTCTTCAGGGCTTTTTGTTTTATCTCTTCATCTTTCAGTACTTTATATTGAGTAGTATGGTCTAACAGTACAAACATAGTATCTGCATGTTTCATTGCAGTTGTTAAGGCAATATCTGTTCTTGCACCTGGGTCAGCACTTTGGTTTCCAACTTCACCTGCAAAGTCTTTGACAGATATTTGGTGTATAGGGAACATAAGTGGAACTGCAATATATTTGGCAGCTAAAGCATTTGAAATATCTGGGTCCAACATATAGACTGCAAGTCTGCTTTCTATTCTCTTGCATTCAACTTTTCGCATGTGAACTTAACTGGGTCCCAAGCAGTTCCAGCAGCATTGAAATAATAGTTTACTTCAGTGTTGAGGTTTGAGAAACCAAAGTCTAAGTCAACTTTGTCTTTGCAAAAGTCACAGAACTTGGCTCCACCAGTTCCAGCTACAGTAAGAGTGAATGGGTCTTGCGTTGGTGCAATGACTAAGTTATTTTTGCTTGGAGTAAGTTCGATAGAAATTTTTCCTGCCCAGTTTGGCAAGTATCTTAAAAAACCTGAAGATGAGGAAAGATGACAAAGGAACTCTAAGTTTCAATTTTACTTTGGTTACTGCTGCTGCAGTTTGTCCAGAAAGGTCAACATAAACTCCTGGAACGTTAGGGTCAAGTCTTCTTATTTTCTCAATAGTTGCATACTGGTCTGTTTGTTCTCTAGCTTGTGGTTGTACTGAGTTTCTCAAAGCGAACCATTCATAGTTTGCCCATGTTACTGTTTGAACTAAGTCAGAGTTAGAATATATCTTATATCCCATGAAAACTTCTGGAGCATATTGGTATCCGACATAGAAAATTCCATTGCAACCTTTCTTGTCAGACAACTTGGCAGAAGGTTTTATTTCAATGTCTTGTTCCACGTATAAGAAAGAGTTGTCAATAGAAATTATATGAACCTGTCGCAAGCAATATCTACTGTTGTTGAAGAACCTTCTCCAAACTCACCTACGTTTCCATAAGAAAACAGCAGTTGTATATTCGTAAGTTCCAGGAACTATTTCTGACCTTCTAATGGCATTGTCGCATTCGTTATACCATTCGGAAACATTTCCATTCATGGCATCCAAAACTGTTGCGTTATATTCTGAGCGGCGTACATTTCATATGGGTAAAAATATAGAATAGTTGGGTTTATGTGTCATAATAGAACCCACGTGGACCAAGCTTTACTTTCTTCCTGACTGAGTTTTTAACTCTTCTTTTTCCTTCATTGCCACTACTTTCACTAGATGAAGTTACTTCTTCACTACTTTCACTTTGTTCTACTCTTCTCTTCTTCTTTGGTGTCGCTTTTGGTAACTTGCCCTCTGCTTCAAGTTGTTGCATCTTTGCCTCATGTTCACCTAGTATGTTGTAAATTTCCCATGTCCTTTTTGCCTTTGGGCTCTGGTCGCCCATCTCAGGTAACCTATATCCTAGAAAGAGTTTGTCATAGTTTGTATTTGAGTCTTCGCGTATTGTTTGCATGACTCTGTCCTGAGTTTCCGGTTCAAGCTCTTCAAACAGTGCCTGTCCATATGGAATAAGCTCGTTTCCAAATATATGTTTTGTAGCCATTCTGGTTTTCTTTCCATGTTACCAACTATATCTTTTGTGAATGGGAAAGCTTTTACCCAATCTTTCAGTCTTGCGTCGTTTATTTCTGTAGTTGGTTTTATTTTGTCAAGGAACATGTTTTTCAATACTAACATTTCATTTGGTACTGTCCATTTGAGTTTTCTTAAATATTCATCCCTTCTCAGGTCATTGTCTGCAAAGTAAGTTTTTATGACATTTTGTAAACTTTCGTTTGCAAGGTCATGTACAATAGGTTCTCTTCCTTCTCCCTCCCTAACTTTCTTTCTAAACTCTTCACCAAATATACCATCTCTATGGTTCTGTGTAGTTCTTTGAGATAAATGTTCTAGAACGTCAGGTGTTATATTTCCATCAGCCATGTTCATTTCATACTGGTCCAAAATATCTGCATGTTTCATATCTTTCAATGGCATTAAAGCCGCGCTTAAAATACCAGCTATATCTGGTTCACCATTGACTTCCATTGCGTCTACAACTTCTTGGAATTGTGGTTGTAAGTTTATGAACCACCTATCCGAGTTAGCTTTATGACCCCATCTCATTGTAGTTCCATCGTCTGCAGAAACAAAAGTAGGTTTGTTTCCATCTTGGCTAGGTTCTGAATGAACTTTAAACAATGTTTCATTTCTATATGTTTTCTTGAAATTTAACCTTTTATTTTCACCGAGTTCATCAAAGATTGAACGTTAAATGCTCGTAAGTAAAAAGGGTTGTTGTATTTGTGTACATTTTCTTTCAGTGCTTCCATTCTATGCTGAATATTTTCATCTGGTGTTGGAGTCTTTTGTATGTCGGCAAACATTTTTCGATATTCTTCTACTATGTCAGCCGAATTTTTTTTAGACTCTTGGAAATATTCCATATTCTCCGCATACTCTTGTTGAGGGTCAAGATTTTTCGGCTGTTCCAAATCTTCATCTAGTTCTGTGAAGTTAGTTTCCAAAGGAGTGACTTGTTCGTTTCCTTCAGGCTCTTCTAGCTGTTGTTGCTGAACTATTTCTTCCATGTCTGGTTGTATCTGAACTAGTTCTTCCTGTGGAGTTTCTTGTACCTCATCTGCTGGCATTTCATATATTCCGAGACCGTTTTTAACAACTTCCCTTTCTAAGTCATCCGGACTCATAAACCTTTCTTCTTTCGTTCCGTCTCTATTTTTTACGCGTTTCATGACGGGAGTTGAATTGTCATTTAGCTCTGACATCAAATATCTCGGAGTAAATTCAGTCATGTCATTTGGATGATATGCTATTAAATCATATCCCTTAGCGAGCTTGTATTTTCCAGGTTTGAAATTATATCCCATTTGGTGCTGAACCATAAAGCTAAATAGGTTCGGGTCAGTATTTCCATCCTTGAACTTTCTAATAGCTTCTTTATATCTGTCACTAAAGTCAATACTATCTGGGTAACCATAGTCTTCTTTAAGCATTTTTAAGAATTCTTGGTTTCCTTGTTCTCTACTTCTTTTATGTCCTTGCTCTGGTTGTGGAGGTGGTTGTTGTGCAGGGTTTTGAACTGTTGGTTGTTGTGCAGGGTTTTGAACTGTTGGTTGTTGTGCAGGGTTTTGAACTGTTGGTTGCTGTGCTGGTTGTTGTTGTTGTTGTGTTGGTTTTGGTGCATGCCTGTGTCTGTGTCCATGTGACGATGTAAATGTGTTAGGTAGTCCTGGTGCAGGTGCTTCTCTTGGAGGGTTTGGTGGTATATAAGTTCCACTAGCTAGTATATAAGTTCCACCAGCTGGTATATAAGTTCCACCAGCTGGCACATATGTTCCATCTGCAGCGTAATGTCCTACCTGACTTTTCGTTTTTAAGAAAGCATTTACTAGGTCTGTTTTGGTCTGTTGTAACTCTTTTTCTTGACTTTTCACAACAGTTGCTCTAACGGCGTCATAGGCACTTTGAACTGCCTGTCTCGTTGCTGCATCTGTTATTTTCGTCATATTTTGTGCTACTTCTCTTAACTCTTTGTCGAAACCTTCAGACTTCAGTTTCTTTCCAGATGAGAAGTCGTTCACTTGTTTCACCTTACTATGAAGATCTTCGAAGGCGTTCTTAAAGTCAGCATTTGTTAAAGCTTCATTTGAACTGTCTTCATCCGCTTGTATTTTTGTCCTTATTGACCCTATAAGCTGGGCTGCTTTAGCGTTGGCTTGGGCATCTAACCAGTCATTGTTAGCTTTTATATATTCTGCGCTTTTCATTGCCTTTTGCATGGCTGCGTCGTTATTTTTACTTTCTTGTGCTAAGTTTTCATACTGTACGGTTTGGTTTTGCAACTGTAAAAGTTTTTCTGCCTTTACATTTGCTTCAACTTCTTTTTTATACTCATCGCTATCCATATATGTCTTCAGGGCTTTTTGTTTTATCTCTTCATCTTTCAGTACTTTATATTGAGTAGTATGGTTTTTCAAATTTATGACATCTTGTTCCATTTTTGCTACTTCTGCTGCTTTTTCTGACACTTTTTTCGCATATTCCTCTGTACTTAGTTCTTTCAGTTGTTCTTCTTTCTTCTTTTTCTCTACGTTTAACTCATTGAGTTTCTTTGTGTGTCTGTCATATTCTAGTTTCTTTTCGTTTTCACTTATTTGCTTCTGTATGTCTATGTTTGACTTTTTGACATCTGATATTTGATTTTTGAGTGAACTCAAATTCATTTGACTTTGAGGGTTATATGCTGTTCCGTCTGCAGCTCCACCATAGCCTGCCATTTTCGCTAAAAGTGCCGCTCTTAAACCTCCACTCTGTGCACCAATGACTCGGTTTAAAAGCATAGGATTGCTTGACATTTGTTGCAACATAGTGGGGTCATTCAGCATTTGTTGTTGCAACTGTTGTTGTGGTGTTAGTCTTACTATTGGATGTTTCAATGCTCTCTTCCTCTTACGTATATTCTTACGTAGCTTACGTGGCATTTTAAGTGAAGTTAAAAAGCGGTTTTATACTAAACATCTTCGGGGCTAGAGGGCGCAACGCGCCTGGAAGCCCCAATACCTTTTTTTTTGTTGTTGTAGATTTAACTCTTTGAGTTATGTGAATGAAGAAATTCGATTAATTCTGCATTATTAATAGAAATTGCACAATCAAGAAGTGTTTCTCCATTGTTATTTGTTTCATTAATATTTGCACCGTGTGAAATAAGAAACTCGATCATATCTAATTCACTAAAATATAGTGCTTGAAAAATGGGTGTGTTTCCAAATAGATCTTTTGCATTAATGTTGGCTCCATGTGAAAGGAGAAGTTCGACTATTTCTATAGATTTGTTATGAACTGCAAAAAAGAGAGGTGTTTGCCCGTTAATATTTTTTTTCATCGATACTTGCACCGTGGGAGAGAAGAAGTTCAACAATTTTTTTGTGTTCAGAGTTTGTTGCAAGATGAAGAGCTGTTAGTTCATCGCAATTTTTTTCATTAATATTTGCCCCATGCAAAAGAAAAAGTTCAACTATTTCTTTATTTCCGCGTATCGAGGCAAAATGAAGAGCTGTATTTTCATCATTCATTTTTTCATTGGCATTTGCACCATGTGAAAGAAGAAGTTCAGTTATTTCTTTATCATCATTGAACAAAGAATAGAAAAGAGCTGTACATTCCTCATTAATTATTTCATTGGGATTTGCACCATGTGAAAGAAGAAGTTTAATTATTTCTTTACAATTATAAATCATGGCATAACCAAAAGGAGTTTTTTCATCAAAATCTTTTTCATTGATATTTGCGCCATGTGAAAGAAGAAGTTCAGATATTTCTATACAATTATTAATTGCTGCAAAATGAAGAGCTGTTTTGTTGTCATAACATTTTCCATTGACATTTGCACCATGTGAAAGAAGTAATTCGGCTGCCTTTTTATTATTTCTTAATGATACCTGATGAAAAGCTGTTATGCCATTTTTATCTTTTCCATTGATGTCTGCACCAAGCGAAATGAATAATTCGAAAAGAGATGGAATATTAAACATCGGAGAATAAATAAAGCATTTGTCAACATCATTAGATTGGTCGAAATAAACTAAAAATGCTTCAAGATTATTATATTCTCCACAATAATCTAAATCAATCTCTATATCATACTCATTCATCAAGAATGTAACAAAAATACAACTTGGCTCCATAATAATCCTGTCATGGTGGCTGTTTGTATCCCCTAGTATTTTCCTCTTGAATCTCTTTTTCTGTCGAAATTAAATTCAAATCTCAGAAGTAGAAGTGAATAATCGACTTATTACTGCTATTATACGAATAAATAAATTCATTATATTATTTTTATTAGTTAGTATACAAGTCATGGGTACGGCGGCACTGCGTTCCACCTTACCCAATACTTGTGAATTTGACACTTTACAAAGCCGCCAACCACTTCACTAACGAACTCACTAATGTAAAAAATAAACGTTCTCACTATCGTTCTCACTAACGACTTCACTAATGTTCTCATAAATTTTCCTCAATATCTTCATCATCAGTGTTAACCCTATTGTAGTCATACTTGAAGCCATAAACTTTCTCTAACTTCTTAACGTACAATTTACATAACTTACCTTCGTCATCGTATGGTTTAATGATATAACTATTTCTATCTTTATACACAGTCAATGAAAAGTCAACTGGTCTCGGATGTATTTGAAAGAACATGTTATGCTCAGGAAGGAAGAATAAATGTTTAAATGTATGTTTGTTATACTGTGGAATTCGAATGAGTTGCTTTTGTTCTGTCATTTACATCCAAATAAAAATTTTCAGTAAAATAAAAAATAAACTTAAAAATTAATGATATCACCACCCTCACACGTATGAAAACATAGCGCAAAAAATAAATTTAGGTGAAGTGGTGAGATCTCACCTCTTTTTTCACCTGTTTTTTCACCCTGTTGAATTCATTGCTTTATAACTCTCTTCCTTTCTCCAACTCTTCTAACTTCTTCTTAAGTTCAGCAATGTTGTCCTCATGAAGTTTAATCTTTCTAATTCCTTCTTTATCTAATGGTTGCTTTATCTTTCTAAACTGAACTCTACCATCCTTCATAGTATGAATGTAAAAACCTTCTGGAATAGTTCCTGATTTAATGTATTCTACCAAAAACTTTTGTTTCATTGCTTCAGTGACTTTATTTGTCATTTCAATCAAATAAAAATTTTAATATTAAATAAAAATAACGTTATTTTTTCAGTAAGGAAACGCAGGAGTTTTACGATTTATTTGAGGAGTAGGTTCTGGTTTAAATGTTGGAGTCGGTTTAGGAGTTGACTTTTGAACAGGAGTTTGTACTTCCATAGGTTCAGGAGTCATTGAAGGTTTTGCTTGTGAAGGCGTGGTTTTGGCGAAGGTGTTGGAGTTTGTTTAACTTCAGCTACTTCAGTATTATTTACAACATTTGCTTTATTTCTTTTCAACATCATAACTGCTCCTGCTGTAGCTAGCAAACCTAGTGGGAGACCATATCTTATATAAGGACTTGACCAAATGCTATTTTTGACAGGAGCTGGTGGAACACCTAACCTTGGTGAGACTGCTCTTTGCCATTGTGCAGCTCGTAAGAAATATTCAATAGGTGCTCCATAATCGTTTGGTAAAGTTTGTTTCATAGATGGTGAAGGTTCACGAGAGCTTGATGAAGAACTCATTTATAAGCTTTAAAAATAAACGTTCATCCTTTATTCCTCACTGTCGTCCGTAGCTAAGTTATAGTCATCTAATCTTATTATGGGATGCCTGACTGTCACCTGAATGGCAAAGCAACAATCCCTCATAAATCCAATAAGTGGCTTTGGTACATTTTCAGTTGCTAGTTCAATAGGTCCTTTAACAGACAATTTGTATGTTATTGGAGCAGTAGATGTTTGACCTTGCTGGAAGCAAAAGTCCACTTCTGTTGGAAAACCACATAAGAAATGTGTGTTGTCATAGCTATCCCATTTATGTTCCACACTACCATCATCCACCAATGACCTCATAACATCTTCATTAAATCCTATCATATCATTGTTTGTATTGCAGCGTTCGCAACCATTTCATAAAATACAGGTCCATATGATTTTTCAGGTTCTGCAGGCATATTTCCATAAGCTCCCATGGAAAGCTGAAGATATTTAAACTTAGGGTTCTCAAAATTAACATAATAGTTGTCTTTCTTTCTAAATAGTGCCCAAATACTTTTAACATTAATAGGCGTATAAGCTGCTGTAAATGTTGCACTTGAACTATCTGTATTCTTTGAGAATGAACCGTCCATAGGAATCCAATCCATAACTTTAACAGGAAAACATAAAGCCTCGTTTGTATAATGTTCTACAAGTTCTGTATAAATGTTAGGGTCTAAAGAGAATGACTTTGGATGAATGAAACATTCATTAAAATCCATCTTTGTTCGAAATAGTTGCTGGGTTACAGTTGTAATAGTAACTGTTCCACTAGCTTCTACTGCCTTCGTTATCATAGTGAATGGTTCATTCCATGGAACAAATTTATTTGTCGGTGGATTTGAATCTGAAGCAAATGCAACTTTAAGAGTTGGATTGAAAGCAATGATATCATTTACAGATATAGATGTGCATTGTAAGGCGTCGCTACTGAACTTTACTTTAAGCTGAATGTTTCCTGCAAAAGCTGGAATAAATCGAATAGCTTCTAATGGAAGGAATCTTCTAACAGGAATTCTTAAACGAAGCTTAAAATCAAATGATTTTCCTGCTGTAATTGGACCACTAACAATTTGTCCTGTTCTGCATGTTCCCGAATGACTCCATACATCTTCATGTCGAGTCTTTGAGAAAACATCTACTTTCTTTATTTGTTCGGTAGTTTGTGAGTTTGAAGTTATATATGCTTCTTCTCTTGCGTTGTCTTGAGAATATACGATACGACCATTTGCAAGGATTTGATATCCAGCAACTGCATAGAAAGCGTCATCGAAACCAATCCAAAATCCTGGTGGGTTTGTTTTATTGGAACCTGAACCAATTTCTTTATCTACAATAAATTGACCTTCCATTTTATACGTAATGAATGTATTGTAAAGGTCCAACATATTTTCACCAGGAGGTGAGAGATTGAATGTTACCCATGTGTTATCTTTAGCAGTTCCAGGTTGTGATGGAATCTTTGCGTCAGAATATTTTCTATTAGTGTCACCAATTTGAACTGCATTGTCTATGATATCGAAATATGAGCGAATCTGATGAATATGCTCTGCTGGAGTAAATTCGTTTAACTGTTCGTTCTGCATGTATTTACTTCAGATAAAAATATCTATTTACTTCATTATTCTCACTCTTCTTCTTGGCATTCGTGGTGGAAGTTGTTTCTTGACATTTTCAATGAACTGTACATTCTCTTTTGTCTCAACTTCTTTCACTGGCGGGTCAGGATTCTTTGACTCGGTTTGTTTTTCAATGAAATTCACGAACTTTGCAATAAGCTCTTGGTTCGTTATTGAAAGTACATCTGGCTTCTTTTCTTCTGGTTCTATTGACTTTTCAGTTTGAATAGAAGGCTTAACATGGACTTCGTGGACTTCACCCTTGCCATACACCTTAATGTTGTCGCTTTCTGCATTCGCTAATGGAACCTTTCTTTTTCTTACGTATATTTTACCATCTTTACTCTGACTTACGTAATAGAAAGGATGTTGTATTCCTCTTGCGTCATTTAATATAATAGACTCTCGCTCTGATTTTGACAAGCTCATTTTACATCGGTTAAAGTTTTAATTTTGTTTTTTATCTGCAGTCAAATGACTCAGACAAGCCCTACGGACAAGACCCAAGGGGTCATAGATGTTGAAGCATTGAAGAAAGAAATTCGTGAGCAAATTTTATCCGAACTGAAGGAACAAAAACAAGAACAAAAGCCAGAGAGACCAAAGAGAAAACTTAGTGAAAAACAACTTGCTGCATTAGCTGCTGGAAGACA